GCAGGTTGTTGATGACTCTTCTACCAATCCTGATGCCACATTCCTGATGCCACATTCCTCTTTGTACGGCCCAGCATCTCAGATGATCTGTTCTGCTTACAGATTGAAAAGGTTTGGAGATAGAATACACACCCCTGACGGAACCTCTTCTTCATTTTGAACCATCTAATGTCTCCCTGCTCTGTTCTGATGACTGCCTCTTGGTCCAAGTATAGGTTTCACTTTTAACACAATCAAATGTTCTGGAATTCCCATTCTTCTCAGAGTAAGCCATATCTTGTTGTGATCCACACAGTCAAAAGCCTTTGCATAGTCAATGAAGCACAGATAGACATTTTTCTGATATTCTGTGCTTTCTGCCAAGATCCATCTAACATTAGTTATAATATTCCTAGTACCACGACCTCTTCTGAATGCAGCCTTCAGATCTGGCAGTTCTCTGTTGACATATTGTTCCAAACGTTTTTGAATACTTTTCAGAGCTTAGGATGCATAATTATTTAGCTAAATAATAGGTAATAATAGGTAAATAGCAATTCTGTATAAAATTACCATTGTCACTGTCATTTTATTTATGGAGAAATTTAGACTTGGTGATATTAAATGATTTATCCAATGTGGTGTTCAATATTGGTAGAGCTACACCTGGAGCCTGGGTCTTTTCACCAGAGTTTCTTCTAATTTTTAAATAGAATGGCAATAGGCAGGTTTGCACACGCCTGCCTTGAGGAAGTCTTGCTTTACAAAAATTGGAAAAGCCTACTGATATTAAATAATTCAGAACTTCATTAAAGAATTACACATTGTGTAAAATATCCCAAAATGGGGATCCCATTCATCATGTCAAGAGACACTTGATATAATATACATACTTGCATGATACTCTAAAGTGTAAATGCTATATGAAGGATTTCTGTACTAAACCTGTGTTAGAGAGATTCATGAGGTTTGTGTAAAAGATATAATAGAGAGACATACATGTGAGGATGAATATAAGCGATAAGAAAGTCAAGAAGCACACCAAAGTTGCATGCTAATTTTTCTTAGCCAGTCATTTGTGGAGTCTGTATGAACCTGTGTAAATAAGAATTCTTTGACTCAAGTAATAAAAACCAACTCTGTTAATTTCTTTTTAAGTCTCTGGCTATCAACAAAAGCCAGAAAGCCATTTAGTTAAATTACTCTGGAGATTCACTGGAGAGGAGCTGGTGGATAAACATGGGAAACTAGCTGAACCAATGCATCTCAGTAGGGTCAAAAAAACAAGCATCGCAAATTCCCACAGTGAATGCTGCCTCGTCACTGAGCACTAACACCATTGAAAATAAAGCCTAGCCACATATTTAGTTTAACCTCAGTGATTTTCAATTCAGAGTCCTATTGGTACCTGTCTCCCAAGCCAAACCAAAGGCATCAATTCAAGGAAGGCAGAAACTGAGAGGGTGAGACAGTTTGTTCTCACCAAGCAATAGTATTGGTAGTGTAGAACAAGGATAAAATGAAGGGAGGAATAAAGGGGCAAATAGAAGGAATGAAAGATAGTAGAGAACAAGGGGAGGATAAATAACGAAGCTTAGATACTACTCAAGACAAAAAGACAGGCATCTACTATGGTGTCCCTAATTATGAACATGAATTCTGCCCCTTTGGATTAAATGAGGCTGTGTGTGGAGGATATGGAGAGGAGAAACACCCTTCTTTTCTAGTTCTTACCTTGAGATGAAAGTCTCCTGTCAAGAACTTCTCCAAAGCTATGAAGAGCAAAGAGGTCAATCCAAAGACTAAAGGGTGCCTGATTCAACCATACTGTTTCCTGTGCATCTGAAAGCTGGACAGTGAATAAGGATGACAAGAGAAGAATGCCTTTGAACCATGGTGTTAGAGAAGAGTGCAGAATATCCCATGGACTGCCAAAGGGACAGAGCTATAAGTTTTGGAGAATGTGAAATCAGAGTGCACTCTGGAGGCAAAGATGACAAAACTTTGTCTCACATACTGTGGACATGTTGCTAAGAGAGGCTGTTCCTTGGAAGGAACATGCTTAGCATGAAGAACCAGCAAAAGAGAGGAAGACTCTCAATGAGATGGATTGACACAGTGACTACAGCAATGGACTCAAGTATGTCAGAGGTAATGCTGATGGCACAGGGTAGGACAGGGTTCAGATGTGTTGTTCATAGGGTCACTATAAGTTGTACTTGACTCAATGGCACTTAACAACATCAACAACCTTGAGATGAATAAAATAATCAGAATATTATAATTTAATTCCTCTTGTCTAATGAATTAAATTCTGCCTTGATTTTATTTTTAAATCAACCATTTGTAAATGGACTTTATTTAATAGATGTCAATAAGAGGAAGAATAGATGTTATTAAAATAGCTTTATGGTGATTGGCAGTTCTGTATTTTTTCTCCCTAAATAAGGGATCTCAACTGCTTTCATTGTTTGAGCAGCACTCAGCTAGAGATAACTTAGAAAATTATATTTCTGTCTAGCCCAGGAAACCTCCGCCATCCTCCACATTGTATGGCCAGCTTCATCTTGGTAAGGGTCTAGGAAATGGTACTGGACATACAGTATAGAAGGATGGGGAGGTTACTGGGTTAGAAATAGTCACAGTTCTCTCAGAAGAACATCAAATCCATCTTTTAGCTTATTTTGTCTCCTTTCTTTCCTTTACCTAAGTATTGCTGATGTCTTTTACTCCTTTCTTCCCACTACATATATTCAATTCTGAAACCTCATTTAACATACCCTTTAAATATTTCTCCAGTCCACTTTTTCCTTTCTATTCCTTTAATTGGCTTGTTTCAGATTTTTCCCACACCCTAGTTGTGGATTTTATTTAATAAAATTTTTATTTTATTCTGCTTTACTTACAAAGTTTGTCTATATTGTTTTCCCACCAGATCTTTCCCATTTCCTTTACCTACTCCTCCCTCCACCCATCAAATTGTGACCCTATGATTACCCTCCCTGCCCCTGCCTATCCTCACCCTTCTGCTTATATTCTTAAATCCTCATACACATTTACTAGTTATTTATTTCTACAATAATGGTCTTACACAGTATTTATCCTTATGGGAATGATTTAGTCAATTTAGCATAATACTCTCCAGTCCCTCCCAAGATAGGTAGTAATTTTCAAAATCATTGTTCCTACATGCTGCATAATATTCCACTGTGTAACTATACCATAATTTCTCAATTCATTCAATTGTGGTTGGACATTTGGGCTATTTCCATGTTCTTGGGATGGTGAATAACACTGCTGAAATTGATCAGAAAAGTATGGAATTTACAAGAAAAGTTAGAAATGACAATAATAAGACTTTATTTTGTATACTTTGAGCACATTAGAAAATGTCAATTGGCAGAAGTTGTTTAATGCAATCAAGAGTCACTGGAGTCTAAAAAACACCCCAAACCCTTGACAAGATGGATTAGCGCAATAGTTCAATAATAAGCCCTAATATATCAAAGTGCGTGGAGATAGTGCAGGGCTCGACAATGTTCCCTAACATCCATAGGTCATCATTATGTGGTTCTCACCTGGCAGCAACTAAGAAAATGTACACAACTAAGAAAGTAATGTTATAAAAGAAAACCAGTCTGTTTAAATTAAGAAGAATTGAGACTCATCACAAATGTATTATATTCTTCTCAGCATTACTTCTTAATTTACAACACCTTTTCTAACTTGCCTCCCATCTCTACTCCTGTGTAGTCCCCCTTCTACATACCCTTTATTCTGCGACTCTTACTTATATACTTTTCTTCTCTATGAACCTATGAGATGTTTTTAATATTGGTTTGCATACAAAATTTACATATCTTGTACTTCATTCATGTACATTGTGTTTCATGCATTTCCTCATTCCATTGTGTTTCATAGAATCATCCATATACATTGTGTTTTATAAAATTAAGCACCATTGTTATATGAGTACTATTGCTGTGAGGGACCTCTTCACAGTACTGAAAAGCGAGGATGTCAGTCTTGAGACTAAGGTGCACCTAATCCAGTCCATGGTCTTCAAAATTACTAGCTATGCAACAGAGAGCTGGATAATGATTAAGGATGAAAGAAGAATTGATGCCTTTGAGTTGTGGGCTGGAGAAGAGTTTTGAACGTACTGTGGACTGCCAAGAAAACAAACAGGTCTGTTTTGGAGAAGGTGAAACCAGGTTTCTCCTTGAAGGCTAGGATTTTTAAGCTCCATCTCACATATTTTTGGCATGTTGCCAAGAGAGACAGTCCTTGGAGAAGGACATCAGCTCAGAAAAGTGGAGGGACAGCACAGGAGAGGAAGATCGTGGATGAGATAGATTGATACAGTAGCTAGGACAGTGGGAGTTGGTGTGTCGGAATTCGTTAGACTCAGGACAGGGCCACAATGGGTCGCAGGTGACTTGACGGCACATAACAGCATGATTCCTTCTTTTCAGGTCACCATTGGATCTTTCCTAATTCCTTCACATACTCCCCTCCGCCTACCAAACTTTTCCCCCTCCTCCTCACACTCTGCCCCCCTGCACCATCCCCTCCCCGTTTTGGACTTCTCTACACATCTTACTAGTTATCTTTCCATTTTTACAACAAGGTCTTATGCAGTATTTGTCATTATAAAGCCCAATGGGATTTTTAAGGACAAGGATTTCATCATATTCATTTTGTATCACCAACATTTTCACACACTGGCTGACACACTAAAGGTTGCAGCGACATGAATGAGTGATGGGTGGTAGACTTGATTAGTGAAGTCTCAGAAATGTGGAATCTCAGTGATTTGATATTACTTCCTAAATCATCACTTTCATTTCCCAGGCTTTATTATGAATTCATTTTCATGACTTTGTGTAAATTATGGAGATTGTTCTAAACAGGATATTGTCCTAAAACCTACATCTATTTTCAAAGTTATACATTTTTTAATATCTTTGATACTAATAAGCGAATTTTTTTGTCATTTCTTTTAAAAATTGATTTTGTAGGTTTTCGAAACTTACATATTGACGACCAGATAACTCTCATCCAGTATTCTTGGATGAGTTTAATGGTGTTTGGACTGGGATGGAGATCCTATAAACATGTCAGTGGACAGATGCTATATTTTGCACCTGATTTAATACTAAATGAGTAAGTAGAACTTAACTGTTTTTATTTCTGTCTTAAGGGTTTATGTCAGATAATTTTGGCATTTATGTTTTAATAAATGATCATAGATTTCATGCCTTGAATATCAGAATTTATCTGAAACATATCAAGATGCAGTTTAGGATTTATCCTTTTCTTCATTATATATTGATTGAATTGTCTCAAATCTGCAGATTTTTTTAAATTTCAAAAATGTGTTGAAAAAATACTTAAAGAAAAAAACGAAATAGATAGGTTACCAAATTAAAATCTCATACCTTGATACTAATTACAACAATGAGGTAAATTATACATTAGCTTAAAAGTATTGATATATCTTTAAGAGTAAAAATATATTTTTCCCCCTAGGAAAAAGGTAAGATTTGGACATTTATCTTAAAAGTTTTAGGATAAACTGGCTCTAGATAGGGCAAGGTTCAGAGCTGTTGCACATTGGTTCGCTGTGAGTCATCGTCAGCTAGATGGCACATAACAACAGCAACAATAGCAAATTCTGATTCAGTGTTCTATAACCCAATAACTGACACTTGTGCCAGTTTTACAGACCGATCTCATATGCTTTATTCCATTTTCTCCTGCAGTTCCTTTAAATCTGTAAAAGATCCCTCCCTTATTTTGCAGCTCAGGAAAGAAATTGAGGTTTAGAGGAAAGGAGAAACCCTTCAAAGAATATCAATGACAGACTTCTATTTTCATTCTAAGACAAAAACGTCATTTTCTTCTCACTGTTGCTGCTAGCTTCATTTAACTTAATGTGGGCATTGTAGTGCAGGAGATGGATGAGAAAATATTTTTAGTACATTTCCTCAACCTTCAGATCTTGCTTTTCCCCCTTGTCAGTTGTTATTTGATATCACAGCTTTCTTTTTCTCTATATCACCATATGTTCCCCTAGAAAAGGTCACAGTCTGGTGATTTTCTGTAAAGCTGATCCATTTTACCACTGAGTTGACACAAAACCATATATATTTTCATAGGGAAAAAATTTGTCAATGAATAATGCGTCCCTCAGTTGCATATTCTCTATTCTCACAACTTCGCTGTCCTGTCTTAGTATAGGAACTTTAATGTGTTATCATGAGGGCGAGAAATAAACATTAATCATGATCAGTATGCATTCAACATGTTCTCCTAACTTTAAAAAGCCTTCACTTCAAAACTAGTGTTGTGGAGAAGTGTAGAAGTCTAAATTTCCAAATATTGTTAGTGTATTAAAAGTAGCATTCACACTCAGTGGTGTGTAAGGTAATTACCAGAATTACTTTCTTCGATAAATAAAAAAAACTGGCACTGGCTAAGACACTTTTGTTTTATTTCTGTTTGTTTTCTGTGTATTATGTGTGTGCTACAAGACAACGGATGAAAGAATCATCAATCTATTCACTATGCCTTACTATGTGGCAGATCCCACAGGAGTTTGTCAAGCTTCAAGTTAGCCAAGAAGAGTTCCTGTGTATGAAAGTACTGCTACTGCTTAATACGAGTAAGTACAAATACCTTAATGGAAGAGACAAACTTTCTTAATTTTTAATTTGTTGGGAAATCTCAAACAATAACATGATTATATATGTAATATGAGTCTTTGCTTAAATCTTTAGAAAGAAATTATAACTGCAGAGAAATATGCAACAAATAGTCACAGAATTAATTAAATTACTGGATACGTAAAGAGTTGCACAACCCAATGCAAAAGTTGTTGTTGTTGTTGTTGTTGTTGTTGTTGTTGTTGTTACGTACTGTTGAGTCAAAACTAACACAAAGCGATCTTCCAGTGGGTTTTCAGAGGTAGTTAATCATATGGGAAAGATTGTCCATCATTCTCCCATGGAGCAGCTCTTGTATTCAAACTACATACCTTTGAATTGCCGGCATAGTTCCTTTCCACTAAGCCACCAGAGCTCCCTCAACTTACAGATAGGCAATTTAAATCCACCGGCTGCTCTTAGGGAGTTATTGTTATTGTCAAGTCCCTTGCAACTCATAGCAACCCTGTGTACAATAGCCCTGCTCTACCCTGTGCCAACCTTGTATCTGACACACCTACCCGTCATTACCTCACTCACTGAATCAATCCATCTCATCAAGAGTCTTCCTTTCCTGTGCTTTCCCTCCACCCTTCCAAGCATGATGTCACTCTCCAAGGATTGATCCTGCCTTGCAACATATCCAGAGTATGTCAGACGAAGCTGACATATTCGCCCTCTTCAGGACAAACCTGTTTTTCTCTTAGCAGTCCACGGTATGTATATTCAGTACTCTTCTCCAGTACCAAAGTTCAAAGGTATCAATTCTCTTTCTATCATCCCTACTAATTGTCCAGCTTCCTGATGCATAGCAAATAATTGTGAAGACTATGGCCTGGATCAGACACACCTTAGTCTCCAGATGACATCATTGCTCTGCAGTATTCTAGAGAGGTGCCTGACAGCTGACTTTCCTAATGTTTGTCTTTTTATTTCCTGATTGCTGATAACCAAGAGTATTGATTGTAAAGCCAAGCAAACTAAAGCTGTTAACAATCTCAGTCTCTTCACCATCCATCATAATGCTACCAATTGGCCAAGTAATGAGAATCTTTGTTTTCTTAAAGTGGAGCTTCAACCCATATTGAAGGCTGCAGTCCTTGACCCTCTGCTGCAAGCACTTCACATCCTCCTCAGTTTCAGCAAGCAGGGTTGTGTAATATGCATAATGCAGATTGTTGATGAGACTTCCTCCAATTTTTATGCCACATTCCTCCTTATACAGCCCTGTATTCCAGATGATCTGTTCTTCATAAAGATTGAAAAGGTATGGAGAATAGGACACAACCCTGGTGTACACCCTTCTGATTTTGAACCATGCAGGGTTTCCTTGCTCTGTTCTGATGATTTCCTCCTGGTCCAAGCATAGGTTTCTCATAAGCACAGTCAATGAAACACAAATAGGCATTCCTCTGGTACTGTCAGCCTTCAGCGAAGATCCATCTAACATAAGCTATAATATCCCTAGAACCATGGCCTCTTCTAAACCCAGCCTGCACATCTGGTAGTTCTCTGCTGATGTGCTGTTCCAGTCAGTTTTGGATAATTTTCAGCAAAACATTGCTTGTAAGTCTATTCCCAAGAGATTTAGCACCTCTGAAAATTCACAGGAGGGTCAGCTATGAGTCAGTTATGACTTGATGGAAATAAATTGTTGAGTTGATGATACCAAAATAGCCTATAAGTCACTTGATGATTGCATGAAATTTTCACATTTGCCAACTAGGTATTACAAAGAAATTGATATGATATAAACAGAAATTATGCTCATCTCCACCTTTACCTTCAAAAACTATTTAAAATATATAATTTTGATGACACCACCTTCATTTTTAGAATTGAATTAATGGCAGTGAGTTATCCTCCTTACGCCAGGATATATTAACTATTGGATAAAAACAAAGATGGGTAAATTTATATGGTAGCATTTTATTTATTACTCATATCCCATAAACAAACACTGTTTGAGACAAACAGTGCAGAGACAAAGATTCTCACCATTGAGCCAAATGGCAGCACTATGATAAATGGAGAAGAGATTGAGGTTGTTAACAGTTACAGCTTGCTCAACTCCACAAACAACACTCTTGGAACCTGCATTCAAGAAATCAAAAGATAAATTACACTGGGGAAGTCTGATGTCAGGGATCTCTCCAGAGTGCAGAGAAGCAAAGATGTCAGTCTAGAAACTAAGATGTGCCGAATTCTAGGCCATATTCTTCACAATTGCTTACTGTGCATCAGAGAGCTGAACAATGACTAAGGATAATAGAAGAGTTGTTGCCATTGAGTTATGTTGCTGAAGAAGAAGTCTTGAACATACAACAGACTGCCAAGAAAACAAATACATTTGTTTTGTAGAGGGTGAAACCAAGTTTCTCTGTGGAGGCTAGGGTTTTGAAGCTCTTTCTCACATACTTTGGGTATGTGGCCGAAGGGACCCATCCTTGGAGAAAGGCATCATGTTCAGAAGGGTGGAGGGACAGTGCAGGAGAGGAAGACCTCAGATGAGATGAATTGATACAGTGCCTGGGGCAATGAGAGTTGATGTGTTGGAGTCAGTCATACTGGCTCATGACAGGGTAGGCTTCAAAACTATTGTACATAGTGTCTCTATGAGTCACAGCAACTCAGTGACACTTTAACAACAACATATTCCATAAGTTTTCTAGGGGGGAAAAAAAGGATGGGCTTTATTCATTTAGAGAGTGTTTCATTTTCTTCATTGTTTCTGTCTGCAAGATGAAAAAGAGCAGTTTAAAGATTCAGGGCAAATACTATGCATCCCTTTTACTTACATTCCAAAGCCCTCTTCAGGTGCAGGAAAATCTAAGAAACAGAGCCTAACTCTAAGCCCAGATGTAGGGAGCCCTGATGGCTTAGTGGTAAAGTGTTGTGTTGCCAATCCAAAGACAGGCAGTTCAAATCCATCAGCTGCTCTGTGAGAGAAAGATGGACAGTCTTCTCCTGTGCATATACAGCCTCTGAAAACCAACTTGAGAATTAGCTATGATTTGTTTCTGAATCAGTGGCACCTGACAACAACAATATGTTCCAAAGAAAAGGGCAATGAAATGTTCTGATGCATGGCATTGGTCGCCAGAAAGACAAGCAATTATCTACTTCACTTCCTTGGAACTAAAAAGCACACATCCCTGAAAATAGTTAATAGTAACCATTCTTAGTTTCTGTCCTCTGAGTTCCTAAGGATATAAGTGAGAGAAGAGATGGTTTTCCCCTTTGCTGCACCCTTTGCATCTAGAGGCCTCGAGTTCAGGCCTCAGATGTTCAAATCAAGCCTTCCTTGACTCATAGTGATTGGAAATAAAAGCATGGGGAGTGAAGACCTTCAGTTAAAGATGAGCCAACGGCCCTTCTCAGCAGCATCTCTGCAAGGATAGTTTCCTAATAGTACAACTCAAGTGGATGGGAGTGTATGTCAGGAGGAATGACAGAAAAGCAAAAGTCTTGAAAAAGTGTTTTCTCATGAAATCTGTATGAGGATTAGGGCCAGCACAAAATCTAAGGATTCATACCTCCATGCCTCTATTCCTAGTCATCCTATATTCAGTAAAGTCTTTCAGCCCTAATTTTGAAGAAAATGCATAAGGTGGGCAAAGGCCATTGATCAGAGGCTACTGGTAAAGAGAGTTGCCAAATATAAATTTAATACCACAACAAATAACTGCAGTCGCTCTTTAATTTTACAGTGGTTTTGTAGCAATCACTGTTAGTCTTAGAATTCCCAAATTAGTTTATATCATTAACATAATTGTGTATTTATTGATAGTCATCATACTAGAATATCAAACAATCAGGAACAAAAGTGGGGGGAAGAGATGTAGTCTTTCCATTCTGTGTCCAGAGTGGACAAAAGGCAAGGTTCTGCTTGTTCAGAGACTCAACTAGATGGAGATTTAGTATCCACCAAATTACTGAGGAGCAATGATGTCAGTTTGAGGACTAAGGTGTGCCTGATTCAGGCTATTTTTCAGTCACTTGCTATGCATCTGAAAGCTGAAAAACTAGTAAGAGTGACAGAAGAATTGATACCTTTGAGCTGCGATGTTCAAGAGGAGTGCTGGATATCCCATGGACTGCCAAAATTACAGATATGTCTTGAAGAAGGTGTAGCCTGAGTGCTCCGTGGAGGCAACGATGATGAAACTTCATCTCACATACTTGGGCATGTTGCTAGGAGAGGATATTCCTTTGAGAATAGCATCATGCTTAGGAAAGTGGAGGGACAGTGAAGGAGAAGAAGACCCTCAACTAGCTGGATTGACACAAGGACTGCAACAGTGGGCTTGAGTGTGTCAGAGATTGTGAGGATGGCACAGGATAGGACAGGGGTCAGAGCTGTTGTTCATAGAGTCACTATTGGTCATACCTGACTTGTTGACACTTAACAACAGCTAATGCTAATTAAGAAGTTCTAGTGGACTAGTGCTAAGGAGCTGCACTGCCAACTCAAACCAATGTGGTTCAAATCCATTGTCTTCTCAGGGGGAGAAACATGTAATTCTGCCTCTGAAAACCCACTGAAGAGTCAGCTACGGTTTGGTTCCAACTTGACAGTACACAACAACAGCACAATGACAGGAGCAGTTGAGTGGTAACAGAAGGAAGTGGCACACATAACTGACATTCACACACATCATGACCCAAAACAAGGGCCTTGCCTGTCTGTCACTTTAAGTGAAAAGATATAAACAGAAATATTTGTTAAACAATACTAATAGCTCTGCAGATCTACTCAAAATCTTGATGAGATTTTTAAGAAGAAAACTTAGCAAACCTACAAAAGAATTCAGTTTAACAGCTTAAATAATAAATAGGTAAGAATTAAAAAAATATTCCATAGTGAAGATTTTTTTGTGAAAGGAATTTTTAAAATTACAAAAATTACTGTAATGAGGAAGAGGGAAGAAAAATCTCGTTCTCTTTGCTACCGAGTCAT